ATCTCCAAAGTAACATGCTTCTCGATATAACTCTGAATTGGTTCTGTTATATGAATCCATCTTATATAAACCTGCGTTATAGGGGGGCTACTATAGTGGATATCTTACATTTGTGCCTTTTAAATTTATCATAATACAGCAAAATCATTAATTATAATTAAAAACGAATTTAAACAGCACTCACTTAATTTTTTCTGATAGCTATAAGTTTTGTCACTATAGGCAAAATCTCATGTAAGTGACTTTCAAACTGTTCCCCTTCCACTTCTGCAATAATTCCACAAACTTGGGTTCCCAATCGCTTGTGTGAAAGCTGAGGAATATTAAAAAACAATATGAAATTTTCAGAATATGGGGAATTTTAGAAGGGAAAATGGTCCACAGTGGTGAAAGCACATAAAGATCCTAAGAGAGATATTTCGCTTTACTTAAGTAGGGTTATTGTTAGTGCTGTAGCATTATACTTGGCATGGGGGGAAGGAAATCCATTCCAACAAAAATGCGAGTACATATGTATAAACGTTTCAGATATTTGAGTGAAACAGATTTTGGCCTCTTATCATTGCAAAAGTGTTAAGTGCTCTACATATATGACTGCAAGTTGATATTTTTTCCTCCTATACTTTTAACCTCTTAAGTTAACTGATAGAAAATTTTGAAATTTTAATTGGATTCAATTTGGGGTAGGGCTCAATTTGGAGTAGGGTGCCTTTTTCAGATCCAGTTGTTAATTTGGAATAGGGCACTTTTTCAGATCCAGTTGTAATATAATGTCATATACTATTTTATTTTGTTATCCAGTTGTTTAACACGGCTTCAATCGAAAAATTATAAGATTATTCAGATCTTTTATATTGTAGGATAATATACACAGAAATTTTTCTGTAGAATGATGTATGTGCTAGAAATGGGCAAAATCACTCTTTTATGGGATCAGATCAGAACTGTTTGCTCACTGAACTGAATCAGTTCTTTTTTATAGCTTACTGTTCTCTAAAAATAACCTTGATAAATGAAATGAGCAATGGGAAAAGACTTAAGAGTGGATGATGACATGAAGAGCAGAAAGAATTGAACTAGTAGTGGAATTGGGAGAATCAGTTTACAGAAGCCTCTGAACTAATTTTCAACTACAATATTGAGGTTTAAAATCTTTCTTTTTTTTTTTTTTTTTTCCTATTCTTCTTCTTTTTCTTTTTTCCTATTTTTTTATTTTATTATTTTTATTTATTTATTTATTTATTTATTTTTTCATAGAACTAACAATAAAATTCTGAAAGAAAAAAATGGGAAAAAAATTAGGAAGGAGTAAACTTACTTTTAACATAAAAAAGAAACATTCCTCTCTTCCTCAAAATGGGAATCAAATTTTCTTAGCATGCTTCTAACAAGCACTCTTTGTGGGTGAACTCTATGTCAAGTTCTAAAATTTGTTTTCATTATATATATACACACACACACACACACATAATTTTTAAACTCAGTAGAATTTTTACGCCTGCATGAATACAGGTTCTTAGTTTAAACTTGTAGAATGGTAAAATTATTTAATAATAATCTTTACTTTTTATTTTTTTAACACAATCAGTTAGGTACCCATTACTTTACAAAAGAAGATGAGCAAAAAGGATAGCAAGGGCCAACTTAATGAACTGTTGCAAAATGAGTTCTTATTTATTGTGGATAATTCAAGAAAACACCTGTGCATTGTTTGTGAAACGCTTTTTCAAATAACAGAAGAAATGATATTACCAGACTGAAAACATCAAAATTTATGAAGCCACTAGGTTTAGTTTGTAGCAAGAAACATGAAAAATCAGCTGTGCTCTCGGTTAGATTTGAAGCTTTCAAAATTTTCAGATTGCAGCTAGACGTGCTTCCAATTACACCACAAAGGCATGCATCAAGAAAGAAAAAAAATTCCTTTCAAACTGGATTAGAAAAGGAGAGAGATGCGAGTTACAAAAAGAATATGTGGGAAGAAATAAAAAAGAAAAAAAAATATATTTGTTGAATTATTTTTTGAAAGTGTGGTGATGCTGGAAGCATGTTATGCAGCTGTAAAACACAAGCCTTTCTGTATTTGAGAGGAAATTTTCAAGCACTGCCTTAAGAATTGCAAAATGTCTTGGTGATAAGATTGTTGAAAGGAAAGTAAATTGAACTGCTTTGCCTCAGCAAACAGTTATAAGATCCTTTACACTGCCATGGTGTTCCTGAGCAACTGAAAATCGTATTTGTACTTGTTCTTTATTTTCTTTAGCTGTGAATGAACCTACTGACATATTATAGCACAATTTCAACTTTTTTGTAAGAAGAATTGATGATAATTTTGACCTCTTTGAACGTCTTTCTGGTCAGAAGCCACCTCATGGAAAAAACAGAGTATTAGACCTATTTCACAAATTATAATCATGTTTAGAAAATCAGTTATTCAGTATAATCTTGCAGGTTGGAAGATTATAGTTAGCTTATCAGTATTTGCATAGATGGAGCACCATTAGTGGTAAGTAGTATTTCTGAGACTGTAAATTGAAAGTTTTTCTTAGGTCATTTTCTACTAAAGTGTCACTCTGTTGCACTTGAAGTGTCTCTGAAGAACTTTAAATTTAAAATGGGATTCCAGTTTTAAAAATGTGATACAATTAGAGCAAGAGGATTAAAAAGACGAGAATTTAGCGAACTGTTTTACAGAGAATATGGTGATCTTGTATTCATTGTGAGATGTACTGGCTTTCTAGATGTCAATTTTCAGTAAATTTTGGAAACTGAAAAAAAGTATGCATAATTTTTGGGGGAAGGAGAAAAAGATAAAGTGTGTGAGGAAAATGCCCATTACAAGATGAGAAATAGCTATTTGATTTAACATTTTTAATAGATGTTATTGGCTCTCTCAGTGATTAATTATTTAGGAATTGCTGTTCAAGAACAAACTACTTCCTAACTCAGTAAGTGACATCAACATATTGAAAATGAAATTAAAATTGTTCATCTCTCAGTTAGGAAATTGAATTTTAAGTTTTTTCCACATTTAATAGAATATAATGAATCTGTTAAAAATAATGGCAACTTCTCAGAATATATTGATTATTACAAGTTTTTTAGTTATTTTAGCAATTCTGCCAATAAAGAAGACTGCATACTTGCATTTGTAAGTCCTTTTATCAAAATTTTTTGGAAAAATTTTTAATAATACCTAATAACATACAAATGGATAATCTAAAAACAGTCATTTATATGAAATTCTATCACTGTCAGATATTTCTGGTATAATTAACATCTGGCAGTGCCACCTTATGAACATTTTTCAGATACCAGTATATTTTTTCTGAGTTATATCTGTCATTTTGAAATAATGTATAGATGTGGAAAATAATTTATTTCCATGAAATTGATTAAGATTCCATTAAGTTTGAACTACAGTCATGACTGGTTGATTCAACATGGGAAAAAAAATTCGATGATTTTTAACTGATTTGACTCCAAATGTTACAAACTTTGCAAAAGTAAAGGAATTTTAAAAATTTAATTAAATTATGTTTATCTTGTATATTTCTCTTTTGCTAATATTATGTAACAAATTATTTTATGTGTAGCTATAAAATATATCTATATTACTGCATTTTAAAATAGCTGAAAAGGGGTTGTAGGATGCATCTTAGCTTAAAGAAATCGAAAGTTGATGCATGAACTATAAAATCTTGGCTGTACTAGTAAAACCACGACAGAGCTCAGTGTCAAGAAGGCAGTAATCAATTTAAAGAGATTAAAAAATGTGATGGAAGAGTGATATTTAGAGTGGCTGTTGCAGCACTTGATTTGAGATTATCAGCAATTAGATATGCAACTGGGACACTGGTGATCCAAGGATCATTAATGGGTAAGTAACTCAGAGAATGTGATCTGTGCTCACAGTGCCCATTGTAGCTCTTACCTCTCACATGTGCATACAGGCTAGCTTGATTGCTTTCACCGATAGGAGTAGACTTGTATTCACCAATGAGTTAGAATTGAGCCAAAATGATCAGTTAAAAAGTGTGTGGAAATGGCCAGGGCAGTGGTAGGGTACTGATCTGAGTATCACCTGTCACATAGTCTGAAAGAGTTGTAGTCTGGGATATGGTATGGTATGGTAACTTTACTTAACCTGTTCCACCAAACTAAGTTAATGGCACTACAGGGTTAGGAAGTCATCCTAGTCATTGCTAGCAATCTAATGGTCAGGCCGACTTTCTACATTTTACATTAATCTTTAGTTTCTTGGATATAATTATTTTCATTCACTTGCTTCATTATCTCGAAGATGCCCTTGTTGCAGTAATAGTCCATGAACAGTCTATTCCCAGGATATGTGATGTAGTCGGAAGGAAAGAACTGCTGTCAGAGGACAGGAGAGCAGGTAATGAAGTGCATCCGCGTCTTCCCTGCAAAAACTGCAAGAACAGTTGATGTCCCGTGGTCTGGGGTGCAGTTTTATCAGATAATCATATCCTCAACAACCTGACCAATTAGATTGTCACATCCCTTCCCAATGGAACTGTTTGGAGTCTAAGCACATCTGAATGTCAATGTCACTAGTCTAACTCGATCATTGGAAACAGTTTAGCAAGAATTCCATAGGGGGTGGTCTGCCAATCTGAATGACATAAAAGCCAGAGGCAGGCTAATGTATTGCCAGTTATGTAATTGTGTTTCCTGAATTAAACATTTAATTTCTGTAAAACTGTAATACTTTCTTTTTCTATACATGTGCATTGCTTGTACTGAATTTTGTAACACTTAGTAAACTCTTTTATAATATTTTTTTTTTTTTTGTGTGTGTGTGTTTTATTCTATATGTGTGTGTGTGTTAGAGTGTATTTTATTCTACTAATATGAGTGAAAGGTGGGTCATAGAAATTTAAAAATATCTTTCTGCAATGTAAAAAGTAAAATTTTTGAATTTTTTTTTTTTTTTCTTGAATGAACTTCTTTAATATGGCATTTTTTTTCATTCTCAGGCTGTGAAGGAGTTCATATCTGTTGTAAACGAATTGCGTTTGTGTCAAAATGTTGGACCTTTATCATGGAGTACAGCAGTAAAATTTATGATGGCTCGAAAGTTCGACACACACAGAGCACTGCAGCTGTACAAAACACAGGAGGTAGTTTTCTTTTTCAACTTCCTTAGATTTTTGTCAAAAATAGTTAAAAATCTTTTTTAAGATTGACTGTGATTATTGCAATTTCTAAATTAAATTATTTTTTCATTATAATAAGTGTTGCCATTTTAAAATTGTATATAAATATATTTTGAATATATCATAATGCTGCTACATTTAATTTGATGCAGATCATTAGAAGAAAAGAAGGGTTAATAAGATTTGACCCAAACTGTGATCCTTTAAAATCAGAGCTAGAAACTGGAAAATTCACTATTTTGGTGAGCCTTTATTCATTCTCTTCTCACATTTTGTTTTTTCAATTTGAATTTTATGAGTATTAATGCATGAAGTGCAGAGATTAACATAATGTATTTTAATACTATGATAGGATTTATGTTATATTAAATAATTTTGTGTACTTCAGCTGCAGGAAAATCAGAGCCATGGTAAATGTTGGATATGCTTTTAAACATGTTTGGGTATACTTTTCATGGATACAGCTGAAATGTTTTGTTGTTATGTCAGACAAATAATAAAATTTGCCCTGAAAAAATTTTCAGGAAAATTATAATTATAAAGGAAGAATTGTATTAAAGTACTGAATCCAGAGAAGATGATAACAATGCTATTTATATCAGGGAAATAAGTTTTCTAAAACCAGTTGCTAATTCTTGTATAATCAAAATGCCTTTTTGCACTATGTGCACATGTTAGTTGACTCTTAAGGTATCTCATATTTTGATTTGGTTATCAAATCATCATGGAACTGCATTTAATTCATCTTTAACTGTTCACATCTGCTATTTGCTTAATTATTGTTACCCAGAATTTTAAATATGTATAACATTATCATGTTTGTCACTAAGTTCAGCATTATGAATAATAGTTGATTTTCCACATATTTTATATTTTTTATGATATCTGTCTATATTTCTTTAATACTTTTTGATGAGAAGCTGGTGAAAAAATTTTCATTATCACACTGGTTCCAAATATTTTCTATATTAAAACTTCATTAGCAGAATTATTGAATTTTATAATTAACTAATTAAAAACTTTGTTCTGCATATTGAACAGAAACATATGATTATATTGGAATATTACATAAAAAAAGTGCTGGTGCTTTTTTTGATGTGATTCTATTCGTAATTTGACCTTTCACCAACTTTTGCAGTCTTTGTAACAAGTTGGCTTGAACAGGGTTCGTAGCGGTCCTTATAAGTGCTTATAAGTCCTTATATTTGAAAATAAAATATAAAGGCCCTTATAGGTGCTTACTTTTTCTTTAAAGCTCTTATTTTTTTGTTTTTAGTGCTTATTTTTTGCTTTTAGTGCTTTTTTTAATGAACACGCTATTTTTCATGGTACCAAAGCCGAAACTAAACAACTTTTCTTCTTAATATGGAATGTCAAATGGTGATTTATACTCCCAGAAATAGCTTTTCCCCCTTTCTCTGCATTAGCATAACCTTTGGTGTGCACGAAGAGTACAGACAGGTGCCCGTCGTTCTATTGGTCAAAGAATTGCGAAAGCAGTAGAATTCTGTTACATTTGGCATTCTTTTCCTCCCACCCAAATATTACACACGCTTGAATTTCTTTCAAGATATTAATAATTTGCATTCTCGTTCCGCTGGTCAGTGTTCATGATATTCGTGTATTATGATCGTTATGCTTATATTATGAGCATATGTATGAATGTTTATAATAACATAGTTGCAGTGACTGCTGAAGTATAGTAAACTTCCAAAAATGGTTGTGTTTTAACACAGATTAGCTTTCTAAGGAATAATATTTGGAATGGCTTAAATAAAGGGAAAGTAATCGAATAGTCAAAATAATTTCATTTTTTTGGCCAATACATTATACAGTACGAAGATTGGGAGGTTCTCCCCTTTCCCCGCAAAATCTCGAATATTGAAACCATTGCAGTTCGCTGCAAAACAAGTGATGGACTTTTTTTTTGTCACTTTCCAATCTGGATTGAATAGGACTAAAAGTTCTGCGGTCTACCAACCCAAGCGAAGAGTCATTCTATTCCAGAAATTTAATGCTGTCTGTTGAAAATTAGAATGAAAAACACCCCAGTTATTTACTTCTTTATTCTCCCAATACCGGCAGCTGTTGATTCCGATTGCGTAATATCACATAGGGTAGAATTACGGCGCACGTATTGTGCAATAACATTTGCGATATTTTGCAAAGATAATTAATTTGTGATGTTCTGTCTGAGATTGCTTATGAACACTTTTAAAAGAGTTTTTGTGCTTGGTAAGCAGAAATTTTTCAGTTCCATTGGTTTATTTTTATATGATGCACATATCGAAATGTCAATTTATTTAGTGGAAAAAAATAAAAATGTAAAGAGCGGCGCCAGTCAACTCCCCACTCCTTTTAAGTTACGCTTTACTGCTGACTGTCGAATTTCCAAGTACGTATGCGGGTTGTTTAAGCTTTTACTGTTAAAGGATGATTGCATGAACCAATTTCTGTCTTCTGATTTCAGAAATGTTCCTCTTTTTTACTTAAATTACTTTGCTTGCAATATCTGTTAAGGGAAAACTGATTTACAATGAAAATTTAGAAAATGTTCAGAATTTAGATTTAAATTTAAATTATTTAAATATCAATATGAGTGGAAAAAAAATTATTTTATTAGGTTCCAAGCGAAATACCATAAATATGCCTTATTATTAATTTTTTTTCTATTTTGAACCGAAATATCATCTTAAATCTTGTATAGTTTAGTTCTGCATAATTTTTTCTCATTGTAATAGTTCTGTACAAAAAAATAAAAAAAAAAAGTAATATTTTCCATGGTTGAGGTAATGCTTATTCTCTTTAATAAATACTGCATTTCTATATTTTAAATTACAAGTCTAATTTTTAAGGTTATGCAGTTGTGATAATGCAATTAGACAGGTGCTTATTTTTTTTTCTTAAAATGTTCTTGAAAAGTGCTTATAGGTGCTTATTTTTTTAATTAAAATGTGGCTATGAACCCTGTTGAAACAACATTGTTTTTTTGAATGATCCTAAATTCTTTATGGAACTACTTGGCTAAATGTCAATTAGCTGTTTGCTGTTAGAATCATCAACAAAAATTTTTCATGTGTGAACATCATTTGATTGTTTAATGGTTACAACCAGAACATTTTTTATATGTGTGTTGTTGTTTTATTAATCATTTATCCATTAGTAATTATATAATAATAATAATAGATGAATTAATAATAAATAAATAATATTAATAATAAATAAGTGCAAAAAATGTTTGCAGTATCTGAACTAATTACTAACAAATAATCTCTGAGAGTGTGAATAAAGCTGTGTTGCTACCAAAAGTTGACTGGAATATGCAGTAGAACTTAACAGTATTTTCCTGCTTTAGTCTAGACTTGTCATTGATCTTATACAAAAACTGTGGTATATCGAGAACTTAATCATAATAGAACTAAAAGTTGGCACTGTGTCAAGCATTGCAAGTGCACGAAGTAGTTAAAAACCAAATCTAAGACTGGAATGTGAGTACTTGTTGGATATGTGTGTAAGCAAGGATGACATCTTTTGTATATAATAAAGTAGTATGTAGTTTAATGCAGTGTCTTGTGAAATAATTACCTACTAAGGGATATGCAACATCTGGCAAAGATGGATGTCAGATTTTTCAAAATAATAAAAGTGCCTTCACGATATGTTTTAATGCTATCGGAATAGACTGCTCAAGGTAAAGCTTTTATAATAATTTTTCTTTCGGAGGATTCACCATGGAGCAGCTTGTAACTGAGTTCATAGAGCAAAATAGAGCTCTAATGGAGAGACTTACTTCAGTTATTACTCCACAAATGGACAATTTGAAACTTTCGGTTCAGTTTGAAAAATAAAATGAACACGAAGAACAGTTTGATTCTTTTTAGACATATTCGAAAGTTATTTAGATATACAAAATGTTTTATAGGACAAGTGTGGAAAAGTACTGCTTTCTAATTTTTCTGGAAAAACGTATAGTCTCTTAAAATCTTGCTGGCTTCCGATAATCCTTTCAATAAAGATTATGATGTGTTAAAACAACACTTCATAATCAATCATTTAAATCCTAAGCCACTTCCTAGCTGACATGTATTTTTAAATCGCAAACAACAAGAGGGGGAAACAATCAGTGTGTATATGGCAGAGTTAAGGTCACTTGCCATACCGTATGCTTACGATCAGAACATGTTAAATATGATGTTGCGGGATGTGTTTGTTAGTGGGCTAAGAGATAGAGTTATTCTGGGTAGAATTTTTGAGAAGGATTATATCAGTTTAGATGATACTTTAAAAATAGCTTTGGCAATGAAAAAACGTTAAAAGTTGCAAATGAAATAATTGGGAAACCAGTGAAAATTAAGGAATTTAGTACCAGAAATAAAGATGAATCTCACTCAGTCGCTTGAAAACAAAAGTTTTAAAAACAAAACTTCTCAGCTGAGAGTGCTAAAGGCAAAATGTGTTCGTGATGAACGGGTACTGACCGTGATAGAAATTATTGTAAATTTAAGACAAGTATCTGCAGATTTTATAAGAAAATCGGGCACATTGAAAGAGCATGCTACAATGCTAAAAATGCTGAAAGAATGAAAGCGAAACAAAAAGAAGTAGACATAGGAAATGAAAACACAGTTCCTATAAATAGCACACATTCCAGTGAGATGAAAAATAGGAAACCACCCGTAATGGACCAAGTGAGCATAGAAGGAAAACTGGTAGCTGTAGAACTGGATCAAGGAAGTGCAGTATCAGTAATGAGTTAAAAAAATTTCAGGCAAATTTTGAAAAGAAAATTCAAAATACAAGTCTGGCATTTAAAACATATAATGCAGAAAAACTGATACCTTTAGGATTTACTACAGTTTAGAATATAAAGGTTAAAAGAGAAACTTAAAATTTTACATTGCTAAAGAAAACATGGATACAATATTTGGTTGAGAATGGCTTTCGGAGATAAAATTAGATTGGACCTCAGTTAAGTCAATTTCTGTATCTCAAAAGAGTAGTTTAATGAAATTATTGAAACAATATAAAGAGATTTTTGATGAAAAAGTAGGAGAGATTAAAAAATTATGAGGCTCAACTTGAATTGAAGCCAAATGTTTCACCAAAATTTTATAAAACTAGGCAAGTACCATTTGTGTTAAAGGGCTGGATAGAAGAAGAAATTGATCGCTTGGAAAAAGAGGGTATAATCGAAAAGGTTGAAACTTTGGAATGAGCAACTCTGGTAGTACCAGTAGTTAAGCCGGACGACTCTATACGACTATGCCGACTACTTGGTGACAGTAAATCCAAATATTATTACGCATCAACACCCTTTGCCGACCATAGAGGAAATATTTTAAGGTTTGAGCAGGGGAAAGCATTTTTCAAAAATTGATTTTAAACATGCTTATTTACAAATGAAAGTACATCCTGAGACTCAAAAATTGCTAACAATAAACACACAGAAGGGATTATATAAGTGTAAGAGATTAATGTTCAGGCTAAATGCAGCGCTGGCAATTTGACAATGTTTCTTAGATGGACTATTCCAAGGAAAAGTGTAAAGTCTTCATGAATGATGTGGGAATAACAGGGTCTAATGATGAGGCACATTTAAATACTTTAAAAAATTTCTTCAAGATATGTAAAACTCATGAACTAAAATTAAATTTAAAGAAAAGTAAAATTTTTCAGGTTGAGATACAATTTTTAGGTCATAAAATGATGCTAATAGATGAAAAAATATCAGCGATTGCAAAGGCCAAAAGATCCAGAAATGTCCAGGAAATTCAAAGTTTTTTTTTTGGGGGGGGGGGGTTAATTTTTATGGAAAATTTTACTCTAAATTAGCGACAATCGCAATTCCCTTATATCATCTAACTAATAAAAAGTCAAAATGGGTGTGGATGAAGGATTGTCAGGAGGCTTTTCTAAACATTTAAAAAGAATTGTGTTCACAAAAAGTTTTGATGCATTATGATCCAAAATTGCCCTTAACATTGGCAATTGATGCATCGCCAGTGGGGTTAGGTGCGGTACTTTCTCACAAACATCCTGATGGAACAGAAAGGCTAATTGCATATGCTTCTAGAACATTGACTGAAATGGAGAAAAAATATTCTCAAACAGATAAAGAAGCTTTGTCAATCAATTGGGGAACTAAAAATTTTTTTCTGTACTTAAAAGGCAGGAAATATATATTAAATACAGACCATAAACCTCTTGTTACAATTTTTGGTTCAAAGAAAGGTATACCACTTTTGGCAGCAACAAGATTCCTGAATTACACTTTGGCTTTACAGTCATTCCACTTCGACATTATTTACCGTAAAACAAGCGAGCATGGTAATGCTGACTTTCTATCACGATTGCCAACGAACTCAGAGCAACAGTCTGTTCAGGACGATGTAACTATTTTTCAACTAAAGAAATTGAAACTGATGCAGAAAACAGTCCTCAAATACTTCAAAGCAGCGGTGAATTGAAAGGAAGAGAGATGGATTACAGTCTCCAAGTTGGCTGTGTAATGTATGATCAACGCATTTGTATTCCGAAACAGTACTGTGAGAATGTTTTGAAAGAGTTGCATCACGGACATTTAGAGACTGTAAAGATGAAAGCAATTACTAGATCTTATGCGTTTTGGAATGGTATAGATAAAGATATCGAAAATACTTCCAAAAACTGTTCTGAATGTGCAAAACATAAAATAGATCCTCTTAAGGTAAAAGTTCATCATTGGGAGTACCTGAGTGCTCCAATAGAATGTATTCACATTGATTATGCAGGATCTATTTTTGAGCATATGTTTTTGATAATCGTCGATGCTCACTCAAAATGGCTAGAAGCCTATCCAATGAAATCAAGCTCGATTTTCAATAGAACGTTTATGGGACCTTTTTTGCACGATTTGGTTTACCAATATTGTTAGTGAGTGATAACGAGCCACAATTCACTTCACATGAGTTTAAAGTATTTCTACAGAGTAAGGGAATCAAACACAAAACTACAGCACCATTTAAACCACCTAGTAATAGGCAGGCTGAACGGTATGTGTTTACAGTAAAACAATCTTTAAGAACAATGTAAAATTATCCAGGAACTTTGAGACAAAAACTCAGTACATTTTTGATGCAATATAGAAAAACTCCAAATTTAACTACTCTACAGAGCCCTGCAATGCTAATGCTGAAGAGGGAATTTGAACAAGAATAGATTTATTGAGACCAGATCTCAAAAGGAGGGAAGACAGAGTTCGAAAAGGAACCTACCAGTTTGCAGACCGAGGATTTAGAGTTGGGGATAAAGTGGCAGTAAAAAATTACCGCCAAGGTGACAGACAATAAAGATTTGAAACTGTCCAAATCCAAGTATGGGCAGCTTCATTATGCTAAATGTAGACGGTCAGCTATGGCGATGACATATTGGTCAAATGCGTGATGGAGGAACTTTAATAGATGAGGGGTTCATACATCCACCTCCAGCTCTCATGATTTCCAAAGAGCCTGATGAGAGTGGAGTTCCAGAACCATCCAAAGATAACTGTCAACAGGTAGATGGATCTGTGTCGTCTTCCGAGCCTAAAAATTGTACCAGATATTCCATCCACCGGACCTGCTGCTGTTACAAGCAGGGTTACCAAAGAAACCTGCTGTGCTACAACCTTTGCATTAGTCCAGTAGAATTTGACGTCCCCCAGATAGACTGCAGTTGTGATAAAGGAGAGGATGTGGTATATCGGAATTATATATAGATTAAAAACTGGCATCCCAGCATCGCAGCACGAAGTATTAAACAAATAGACTGGAATCAGTAGTTAGGTACGGGAACGGGAAATACATCAAATCGAATCGGATCGTGGGACCGCTCGGATTTTTCCGGATCATAGATCATCAATTTAAATCTGGTAAGATTGCATACAGAAATTACACAATTAAAAATATGAAACTGTAATTTATGAAATAAAGAGCAATTATGATCTAAAGGGTATCAAAATTTACAAAAAAAAGCTTAATATTTATTTGTTTACTGTGTTAAACATTTCTTTCAATGTAAGTTGTTTAAGTTGGTTTGTTTTTTGTGCCAATACTTTCTTTTTAATTCTATAAACAGACATAATTTCTTGTTCAGTTACAAAGTTCCACTGCTCAAGTCCTGTAATTGTTGTGTTGCGAATACCGACTAACTTATCAATCGAAATTTTTTTGTTTTCAATAACCTCTCTGTCACTTCTACAGCAGCAATTATTTGCTGGTAACTTGTAATTGCCAAATAATTCTTTTATATCTTCTTTTTTTTCTTAATAAGGCTTCTTTCAAATCTCAACATTAACTGAAATAGATAATTAGATAATTTAGCTTAAACGTCCGTTATACATAAATATGGCACCGGAAAACGTATTCTGCATGCGCACACGCATATGCGCAGTCGAAAAAATCTTACGTGCACGAGTAAACGCCTATGCGCTTGTGTCAACGCGGCGCATGCGCAGAAAGTTTTTAGCTTTGAGGTCCGGATTATAGATCATTCCGAATTATGGGTGTCCGAATTAACGACTTTTGACTGTATCTTTTGTATATAATAAAGTAGCATATAGTTTAATACAGCATCTTGTGAAATAATTACCTACTAAGGATATACAACAAAAACATTGGCTGGATTTCTTGCCATACTGCAGTCAAGCCTAATCAAATTTTGTTAGCTCTGCAGATAACATTAAAATAGGAACTAAACTAAAATATGAATTAAAAAGCAATAAGTTTGACTATCATTTGTCAGCTGTGAAGATGTTAAATTACTAAATTTCGACATCATCTTTTGTTAAACTATAATATAGTTTCATGTTACTATAATATGTTAAGGATAGTTATTTTGTAAGTTTATTTACAAGCTAGTGTTTTGCTTTCATGACACAGTGCCAGGTCATGATGGAGCTTTAAGGAAACGCTGGTGTAGTGTATTGATATTAGTCCACAAAACTGTTGAATCCATCTCATAGATGACATATTATTTTTATCCCTGTTCAGATATATTGAGAGATTTTATTTAAATTTAGCCTACAAGGGATTCTGGAGGAGCTGCACTTGCTCTTTTCACTGCTGGACGCCATAATCCATTTTTGAGCTCTCATAATGTCACACTTCAAGGAGTTGTTTATCAACTAGATGTTGCTTTAGAAAGGTAATATAAATGATTCTTTAAAAATATATTAATTCAGAAGTAAAGAATAACTAAAAATACATTACTTACGATGCATGAAAAGATATTAATAGCAGCCATTCTGGAAAAGTGTGATCTTTTGTCCAAGCAATAGTTTAGTGTTATATGTTATATAAATTTTGACTCATCCTTTTGAGATTTGAAACACCATTTTGATATTTTGTGAGCTGGCCCACTGGATTGGAAGATGTAGAACATGTTTCATTTTTTTTCTTTCCTTTTGCATCATGTACATGTACTGAATTGTATATTTTGGAGAATTTATTAATCTTTAAAAATTACTCAAATGAGCGATTAAGTGAATACTTCTTCCCGAAAAATGACAATGAGGTTCTAAGTCTAATTAAGTAAAGTCAAAAAAATTATTAAAATAATTACTCATTTACTTTAAACTTATGGTATGTTCTCAAATGATGGCCACTTGTTTAGTAATTTTGCATTTCAGTTTCGCTTTTTAAGGAATTATGTTATTGATTGACATTAGCCGTGATCAGATTTTCAGCCCTTGTATGTTTGTGGAGAGAGCAGGGAACATTTTTCTATTGGACCTAAATAATAACTGAAGTACAAAAATATATTTGTTTGAAGTGTTGCTCATACAGGTTTCCTTTTGTTGGCAGAGTAATGAGGAAGAGAGACAGATTCTGAAAAATATCAGTTAATGTCACAAATTGTGCTCTTCCTGGAATTTCTAATTTGATCCAGCTTATTATTTTTTGCAGGGTCAAATTGTCTACCAGTAGCTCAGTGGTAAAATTGCTTAATGTTGTAATTCAACCTTACTTCGTATTCTGTTGAATGGACTAGCTGCATGAGTGTTTTCATGGTTTTTCTTATGTGAAACACGGATATGACCCGGTTTCTCTCAGAAAGACCTTCATGAAAGCAATTTTCCCTGAGGCAAATAGCCTGAATTTCTTTACGATAATCAAGTAAATCAAACCAATCTCGTTTTTATCATCTTTATTGCCCTCTGCTCGACTGGCATAATGAAAACAATTTTGGCTGACTGATTCTAACAAGCCACCAAGACTTTTCCAGTGCTAGTATTTCATTAACAAGTGAAATGTTATAATCTACTTGATTGTCATACTTCCGCAGAATGCTTAAAAAGAGTTGCTTTCCTGTTATGACTCATCAAGCTACTGATCATCCCTTGGATCTATAGGTTCAAAATTTCATTTAGGGGCAAGAACGCAGTTTTAATCCATTCAAAGATTTCAACATCTGTGTGTGAAGTACATTGTCGATCAAGAAAAGAATGTTTCATTTTTAGGCTGAACATTTTTTATTTCATTTTCATAAATCTTCTTCAAAGAAATTTGAGATCATCTAAACCATACAGTTTTATCAGAAATGCGAAGAATGTTCAGTTTTTTAAACATATTGGTTTTTGAGATTTTTCAGTTACCAAACCCCTATGATGCTCAGGGTCATTCATGTTAGCTAACACAAGAAATGTGATTCTTATTTTGAGAGTTTTTTTCCAGTGCATCTTTGGTATTTAAATTCTAGAGTCTGATTTGGCACCATCTTATAGAACAATAACTTCATTGGTATTGAAAATGTTTTTTTTTTTTTTTTTTTTTTTTTTTACACTGCAAAGAAACATCATTTCAATCCCTCCCCCCATTTTCCAATATCAGATTTGGGAATGCTGCCTGATTTTATGCTCATTTTTACTGAAGAAATGCTGCTGTGTTTCTTAGATCTATTCAACCAACTGCTATAGTGCAGAGAGTCAGTCTGTCCAAATTGTTGGAAAATTCAGTGGCCTGTATTGGAAGCATTTGTCCAGGTATTGGCAAACTGTGGCCTTTTTGAATGGTGTGTTATTTCAGCAGTGCTGAACAAGTGCTCTTTATGATTAAGCTTTCTTATCTTTTTCCTCTATCCAATTTTTTTTCCATGAATGGAAATGTTTGAATTGTGCAATGTTTCCATATAGTATGACTTCAAATTTGGATAAGCTATATATCAGGTAGATCTCAGTTGGGCTACATCCATTCTATATTTTTGTAATAATTATGAACCTCAATACAGTACACTATATGTTTACGATTCTGTATATAGATAAATTTTGACACAACAAATTTCTCCAGTACAGAGTGAAGAGAATTAGGTAAAAGAATTCATGAACGTTTCTTTTCTATAAAAAATGAAAAGTAAAGATAATTTCAAACCAATTTGTCTTAATTAATGTCCAAAGAGATCATATTCATTCCTGCTGAAATTACTATTATTTTAATTTATATTACTAGCAACTATTTAATTAGAAAGTAGAGATTTGAGGGTTTATGATGACTGATTTTGCATTAACTAATTTAGTTAGAAAGTAGAGATTCAAAAAATCATGTTGACTGTATCAAGCTGTTGTGATATAAATGTGCAATTTCTGTAAAAGATTTAATTAAAGTAAATGAAAAAAAAAAAAAAATGCTAAAAATAGTCATAAGTTCGAATATCTCTGTATGATTTTTGGCCATCCAATGGCTATCTCAGTCTCATTTTCAGGCAGATGGAATATTTCTTACTGTTTTGCATTAGAAAGCTGGATTTCATATTCATGTAATTTTTGCATTAAATGGGTTAAATAAACTTTATTATATAAAATTTCATGTATTAAACATTTTATGATATAAAATTGTACTGATATTAATTTCTATTAAAATATGATAGTTTGTGAAAATAATTTGTATTATTTTATTTAATAGCTTTCAGACACAGAGATGTGGAGTTGTTTTCATATACAATATGAATGATTCCAAATATTCAAACTTTGATTATGAATTAAGCCAGAAAATGTTAACATTATTGAAGGTAAATCCATTTTTATCTAATTAGTGACCACACAACAGTTATTTTGATAAATGAAAATATACAAACTTTTATTAAAAAATTTTTAAATCTTGTCAGTGAATGCTATGTGATTTCCTTTAGTCATAAAAAAGAATGCATTCTTTTGCAGAATCATAGAATAATATATGTCTTATTTTGATACATTCTTAATACTTTATTGGTTATGAATCAGCCTACATTGCATTTCAGGCACATGTTATAATGTGCCTGAATATTTCAGGCACATGCATAAATGAGCTGACCATACTTGAATTATTTGGTCCAATGTGAGCAACTGAATTGACCCTGTTTCTGGAAGCAATCCAGAACTTTTTTAGTAACATTTGAGAATAAAATTATATGAAGTGAGTTTAATAAATATTTATGACAGTATAAGTGCTACGCAATTTTCTGAATTGTCTCATTAATTATTTCAGCAGTGATTTAATTGCTGAAACTGAAATACAAAAGGAAAATTTGATAGCAGTTCTTTAACTGTAATATTGGATTCAGAAAAAGATTTAACTTCCATAGTAATTTTAAGCATATAAGTTTTAAAACTGTTAAAATTTTGATTATATGTTCAAAAAGGAAAACATATTAAATGCATTATTTTACCAGCAGTTTATATTCATGTGAAATTACTGAATGCCCATTAGTCCCTAGTCAGTTCTGTTTCATAGGTGTTGCAGGTAGAAAACTATAAATATTCTCTTGAGAAATGTATGTAGCTGTTAAAAAAAAATGAACCTCTCATTTTCTGCATTTACCAAAAGTTCATAAAATCAAACTCAGTAAACAAAAGTGCCATTTCCCATTACAGGGACACCTTGGATTACAAGTAACTTGGTCTATAAGTGTTTTGAGGGATGAACAAAATTTTTTTATAAATTTTAACTTTGTAAACGATTAAAGTCTTTCAATATAAGCAGTTATATATATGCTGTGTCTGCTGAACATCATGTGATCACAGCTGATTCAATAGTTTTTTTCTCTCTCTCTCTCATTGAAAAATAGCAGATAAGCATCTTGTGCTTCTCTGCTCGATTTGAGTCTACTACATGCTTAATTTTTTTAGGTAATAGCCATGTAAGTGTACACTGTTTCTATAGCATCGTGTTTTTATAGCACTATATATACATGAGTAAAGCATTTTTTTACTTCGTACAAGGAAGTATTGTAATCGCAAAAAGTTTCAGGCAGCATATTTCAACGAAAATATCCATTTTGACCCCTATCGAATGCAATTTAACGATGTTTTTGCGTGATGTCTGTACGTAAGGACAGAATAAAAGACTGGTTTCCTCCAAAAAAATTATAAAACTGCTTTAAAATTAATTCTGAAGAGAATTTTTCGTGGCGTCTGTACGAACGTATGTACACACGTACGTACGTACATATCTCGCATAACTCAAAAACGAGTAGCCTCAGGACGTTGAAATTTTGTATATAGGACTGCTATAACATGTAGATGTGCACCTCGTATTTTGGTTGCTATCGGCTGCACCAAACGTATATAAATACTATATTTATATATATATATATATATATCCACTCTGTTACTTGGCACAGTGATCTCAGTTTCTTTACTCTTATATGTTTGTAAATTGTACATTTTTTGCTTTAAAAATGATTGAATTATGTTGTTCTTATCTTCCGGTTAAGGTTTTTATGCCTTTCGTAATTCTGGAAGCAATATTTGTACAATTATCAACAATTTAAAAGCTGTTTAAGTGCGGTTAAGTTTTATATAACATGGTGGACATATTTGTTTACATTTGAAACAGCAGAATTGTAGATTTGTTGCCAATCTAGAGAGACTAAGCTTCGCAACAACAAAAATAACACCTTCATTTATTATTGCGAATTAAATCGTGCTTAATTCCTTTCTGGAATTTTTTCGAGGAAATAAGTGTTTAAGATTTACTTAATTTTTAATATTAGTAATTTAATTTTAATAATTAGTAATTTTTAATACAGATATTTTGAGCTTTTATGTATTTTTGTCTCGTCGCGAAGTGAAAACTGAATTAATTGAATGAGAAATACTCAGTCGTTTGTGAAAAACTGTTTCTTTTTTGTTTTGTTTGCTTAATTTCTTTTTTACATCGTTTTAGCTTTATTATAGTATTTGAAAAGAACATGTGGCAACGATTAGATAATTCTTTAAATGATATACATTTTGTGCCTTCTGAGGTATAATACGAATGAAATATAATACTGTTAAGTGAACCTAGTGCCAGAGTGTCGCTATGTTAAACAAATAGAGTAAATTTTAAAGAATGCCTTTATTCTATTGTGGTTTATGCGATGTCGGCGAAGTAGATTTAATTAAATCCAATAAGTTTAAAAGAAATGCAAGAAACAAATGCGTATAATTTAATATTCCGTACAAGGAAGTCGTGTGGTGTATACATCAGATTTTTTTTAATGTATGTGTGCGTGTGTATCTAAGTGTGTTGACAATAAGGAGACAAGTAAATATACTGTATTTACTCATCTCCTTATAGTACAGTAAATATACTGTTAACAGAAGGCTATACAAAGAAAAAGATTGAAAAGGAAGACTATAAGGAGATGAATTGATTGGAAACTAAGAAGGAAGCCATTGGAAAGTATAAGAGAGTGGATGACTTTGCAAAGTTCTTGATTGCCGCAGTACCAAAGAAAAGTAAGAGGATTAGATACAGGAAAAGGAGTCACAAAAGTATTAACAAATGACCTCATGTTCTAGAAGATATAGGATGTTGCTTCATTTATAGATGAAAAAAAAAAATCATTTCATGTGGTAAACTCTTTCTCATGTGAATAAGAAGTGACTGGTAAGGATACAATGACCAAAAACTATCTGTGGGAAGGCAAAGTCCTTGTAAGCTAACATCCAGGTACTTTGGCAGAAAAGAAAAAGGCATCAGGGTGAGCAGGAAATGTTTTGATAACTTTAAGAAAAGAAATAACATCTGTGGTTTTATGAGGTATGAAGAGGCTGCAAATTCAAATACCAAGGCAGTTGAGACATTTGCTGCTTAGTCTCAGAAATTCATGGTTTGCATGTTGATATTGCTCATGTTACTTGTTGTAACAAATGTTTAACTGAAATGAGACGAGAGTTTTTGTGGAAGAAAAAAAAAAGTGCTGAAGAAAATATGTTGTTTAGCAAGAGCATCTGTGTATCATGGAACCATCTGACATGCTTGTTATGTGTTAGGAATTTCAAAGCTAAGTCTCTGTTTATGTATCATTCTGAGAATCTAAGGGCTTTTAAGAAAATGTAAGATGCAGAAAAGGATGTAAATTGTTGTGTGGAGGTCTAAAAATAAGGTTTGCATCACTTGTATCTTGTCTGCTGAATATATCAATGAGGTCTTCAGTCTTGCAGCAAAGAATTACCATTTAGAGAAGATTCTGCCATCAGAAAAAATATATTTCTGATTATGAATAATGTTTCTGCTTATCTTCTAGGTCTTGATGACTTACTGAAAGAACTTGAACCAGATTTAAGTTCCTTCTTCCCTACGCCACTCCACTATTTCAGCCCATGGATCAGCAAGTAATTTCAAACTTTAGAAAGTTTTGTACCAGAGTAATATTTTGGTGATGCTTTGAGATCGTTAGGTTCATTATGATTTAAAGTTATTGATATAGCTTCGAATGAGGTTACCAACAGAACTCTCCAATTCTTTTAAACCCGTTCACCACAGCTTTATCATATGTGCATCAGTACTTAATTTTCTTACATGATAGCATGCTGCTTAGTGCAACTCACCTTGAAGACAGTATGCTGTTGTAGTAGTACGATCTCACAGTAAGAGTGTCACTAAGCCTTCATGTCACTAAGCCTAACATGAAAAAAAATCATTAAAAATATTTTTTTTCCTCAATTGCTTTGATTTTTGTAATCATAACTAACAATAATATAATCATCAATGCAGAATATCAAAACATTCTGAAATATTTTAAATTAAAATCTAAATAGAAAATCAAATTAAATTAATTAAATGTTGATTGATTGTTGTATAAAACAATCTTGATTAAATGTTGTATAAAACTTACCTAGATAGAGAACTATTTAAGTATAATAAATATACACTGAAGTGAAAAAAGTCACGGGATAGCAATATGCAAATATACAGATGGCAGTAGTATCGCATAGAAAATGTATAAATGCAAAGTGCTTTGGCAGGGCTTTCATTTGTGTTAAAGTTATTCATGTGAAGAGGCTTTGACGTGATTATGGCCGTACGACGAGAATTAACAGACTTTGAACGCGGAATGGTAGTTGGAGCTAGATGCATGGGTCATTCCATTTCGGATATCGTTAAGGAATTCAACATTCCGAGATCCACAGTGTCAAGAGTGTGCCGAGAGTATCTAATTTCAGGCATAACATCCCACCATGGACAGCGCAATGACCGTCCACCTGCACTTAACCTTTTAACTGTCATGCCCGAAATAATCTCGGGCACAGCACTGGTATTCCAAAATGTCACGCCCGAATATTACTCGGGCTAACTTTTTTTGAGTGCTTCGTATTGTTATACCCAAATATATATCGTGAGAAGTTTATTTCGGCTTCAGTTCAACAGATGGCAGCATTTTACTAAAGGTTTCAAAGGATAGAGGTTAAAGCTCAAAGTGTGCGGATTTTTTTAATTTTTTGACTGTGAGGCAAACATTTCATTTTTGAAATTAAAGAAAAAATTGACAATTTATGCACCCAAATCATCAAAATAACTTGACAGTTAAAAGGTCAACGACCGAGACCAGCAACGTCTGCGTAGAGTTGTCGATGTTCACAGACAAGCAACACTGCGTCAAATAACCGCAGAAATCAATGTGGGACGTACGAGGGACGTGTCCGATAGGACAGTGTGACGAAATTTGTCTTCCTTGGGCTATACCAGCAGAAGACCGACTCGAGTGCCTTTACTGACAGCACGACTTCGCCTGCAGCGACTCTTGTGGGCTCGTGAGCATATCGG